GTGCCCGCATCTTGTCGATGACTTTGATGTAGTTGTCGAGAATGGAGGCGATGACGGGCACCATGTCGGCCTCAACCACACGCGTCCTGACGTTCTCTGAGCCGCGTACGCCAATGTTGAAGATGCATTGGAAGGCGAGGTTCCACTTCCACATGTCCATCATGTCCTTGCTCCGGCCCTCCTTGAGGATGCATATCAGGCGTTCGATGCCGCCATCGACGGTGAGAATGTCCCGTATGCGGGCCGAGGATGTGGTGAGATAGGCGAGGTGGTTGAGCGAGTTGATGAGCGGGAGGGTCGATGTGCAGTCGAGAGCGCGGCGGTCGTAGAGGGCGGTGGTGATGCCGACCGACGCCTTGTTGGCGTTGGGGATGCTAAAGTTGACTTCGCGCATGTTTGGAGCTGTGTGGTGCCGTGGCTGGGTGGATGGGCGGGAGCTGGGTGGTGGAGAGGTGCAGGACTAGTGTCGCATGTGGTGGGCAGCAAGCAGGAGGGTTTGGCTGCAGGCTGGGAGCGAGCAAACAGCGGAGCCCGGGATGAGGGGAGAAGCAGCCAGTTGTTTGTTGATGCTTCAGGCTCGGACGCAATAGAGGGGCCCGTGTGGTGGTGTGCTCAGAGGTGCTCAGATGGTGCTAAGACGGCGCTTCACAGCAAACGTGTGCTCGAGGGCGGAAGGAACCCGACAACGCGGTGACGACGGACCACAGCCAGACTCGGACGAGACGGGGCTGTCGCGGCTGTTGGGGAATAACCAAAGCAGAGGCCGGTGGAAAGGGATGGTGATGGCGGAGATGAGGCGTGTTTGCTGTTGTTAGGGGGACCAGGATGGCTTCGCTGCCGCTGGCTGGCAGGCAAGAGCGCTCTCTGGCGTCGCAGTGGGGCCGCGCAACACTGGTATCGTCTGGTGTGTCGCTCTACGGGTAGTGGTGCTAAGGCTGGGCTATGGTATGCTGGATGAGGCTGTCGGCGATGAATGGGATGTAGAGAGGCGGTTCGGGTGAGAGGTCATGGGCAGTGGAGCAGCTAGTCCCACTGTTAAGGATTGGCACCGACCGCCCAGAAGGGTAGCCTCGAACCGCTAATTTCATGCGCTACGGGCAAAAGAGAGCACCGAAATGACTGCCTCACCTTGCACACGCTGTGTTGAATGGCAATATGGCTGCTTGCAAATGCACCCTCCTCGAGGACCGTCAGCACGTGTAGCGACATGTCACGGGCGCCTGTCCCCGCCGTCCACGAGTCCCTCTACCGCCCAAATTCCCTCACCCCGTCTCCGCCACAGGTGGCGCCCTTGCCTCTGCCTCTGCCTCTGCCAATGCCGTGAACCCTTGAAACTTGTCCCCCCACTGCATTGCCAGCGAACTGTGACTACTGAAGCTGCGTCTGTTGGCGCCTGCATCTTTCGGCGGCACTCGAGGGCTGCGTGGGGCGCCGGCCAGCTGCACGATGCCACCAAGGCTGATGACAAAGACGGCCCTCTCCTTGGGCCTCCCATGCCGTGCTACCACTACGGACTCGACGCATCTGACTCAACGTACGAGCAATTCACGCATTTCGGCCCAAATACACTGTGACGGGATTGAAGTGGTACCAGATAGTTCTGCGGGGTGCACAGGGTCTTTGCAGTCCCGTATTTACACATTGTCCCGTCATGGTGAGGGCCATTGGGCACATGAAACTCGCGCGAAGCTCAGAGGTTGCGACCTCACAACGTGGGCTACACAGGAGAACCGCCAACCACCAGCCAATCCGCGCCCTGCCATATCAATGGCTGCAGCATTCTATTCTTCACTCTCGTTAACCTGAATGATTAACCCAACCCCATTGCTCCACAGTTTCAGATTTCGGACGCGATGGCCGCCTCTCCCCATGAGACAAAAGTCCAAGACTTCGCATCCGCTCCACCCGCGCCCGACCAGCCAGAGCGCTCTGCTTCAGATTCAGCCGCCCCTCCACACCTGACTATCGATACCCAGTTCGAAGAGCAGAGAAGACGCGGCCGCTCGGCGACTGCCACCACGGCTACTGCAGCATCGACCAACCGAGACGACGTCCTCTCCCCTGACCGCTTCTCCGTCGACTCGACCCTGCGCCGACGCATAACGCGATCGCATACCGTCAAGCACTACCAGTCCCCAACGCGCCCGTACCAGCATCAGGAACCCGGTGCGGAGCCCGGTGTCGACACCAAGAACGAGACCGACGGCGCCAACTACCATCACCTCTACGCGCGATGCCAGATTACCGTCGTAGACTTCTCCGACGAAAAGGTCGAGTGCCATGAGCTGGACAACGATTCACTGGAGGACTTTCTAAACTACCCGAAAGAAGACTGGGTGGCCTGTCGGTGGATCAATGTCAATGGCCTGTCCTGGGACGTGATTCGTTCCCTGGGAAACCACAAGAACCTGCACAGGCTGGCCATTGAGGATTTGATGAGCACCCAGAGTAGGACGAAGGTGGACTGGTACTCCGATCAGGCCTTCTTGCTCCTGACGCTGTCCAAACTCGTCCGGACGCCCATGGACGAAGACTCCGAGAGCGACTCCGACTCGGATTCCGACGACAGCGAACGACGACGGCACAAGGCTCGCTCCCGCTCCCGCTCGCGGCACCCTCAGAAGAAGAAGGAGAAGAAGAAGTCGCTGTACAAGAAAGCGAAGAACCTGCTCTTCCCCAAGAGCGAGGCCAAGAAGCAGGTACGCAAGGATGAGATGATGAGCGCATTGGACAACCTAGAGAAGCAACTCGACGACACGCCCTTCGAGAAAGTCAAGATATCCACCCCACCCGCCACCACCGCCGTACGCACTCTCCAACGCTACCGTGGCGGTTACAATCTCGATCGAATCGTATACCTCGAGCAGCACTCAGCCCTCACCGAGAAGCACCTGACCGTCAGCGTCGAGCAAGTCAGCATTTTCCTCCTCGCCGACAACTCCGTAATCTCCTTCTTCGAGCACTCCGCCGACGACGTCGAAGACATGATCCTCAAGCGTCTCCGCACCGAAGACACTATCCTGCGCCGCAGCCAAGACAGCAGCATGATCGTCCAAGCCATAATCGACGCCATAGTCGATCTCGCCATCCCCGTCGTAGCCGCCTACGAAGACGCCATGGGCGAGCTCGAACTCGACGTCCTCGAAGACCCCGAACTCCACCACTCCCAACTGCTCTACCTGCTCACCTCCGAACTCTCCATCCTCCGCAACACCATCCAGCCCATTGTCTCTCTGATCAACTCCCTGCGTGATCACAAAGCTGACCCCATGGCCCAAGCCACCATGATGAGCCAGAGTACCGCTAACCTCGCTACCCGCAAAACCATGACGCAAATCAACATCAGCCCCCTCGCACACACGTACCTCGGTGATGTAGAGGACCACTGCATCATGATCACCGCTTCCCTGGACCAAATGCGTCGCGCAGCCGACAACCTAATCGACCTAATCTTCAACATGATGGGTGCTTTCCAAAACGAATCCATGAAGATACTCACCGCCGTAACCATCTTCTTCCTCCCCCTCACTTTCCTCGTCGGATATTTCGGACAGAACTTCGAGCGCTTCAACGGCGTGCAACACCACTCTGATGCCTTCTTTTGGGTCATTGCGGTGCCGGTTATGGTTGTTACACTACTGGTGCTCATGGCTGATCGTATACTGCGCAAGATTAGGCATTGGAGTGGGAAGTTGAAGAGGAGGGAGGCGAAGCGAAGGGCGGTTAGGAAGGGGAAGGTTGGTGGGAATGGGATTCTGGGTGATGGGATTGGGTTGAGTAATGGGGTTAGGGGACAGCAGGGGATGCATCATAAGAGGAGGCAGACTATGTATAGTAAGGGGAATATTGGGTCGTTTTAGGTTGTCGGCATGGAGTCACTTTCGGTGTTGGGAGGATATGCGATGGGTGAGCCTTGTTGCGTGAGTACCGGCGGGCTTTCGTATAAAAGTGGCATACTGGCATTTTGCGAATTATCTTGATAGACTGTATAGAAGATACCCTGTGTTACGCTCGCAGCTGCATCCTAGTGTGTCTGCGCGTCGTTGCTACTACCTACGTACCAGGGGCGGCTTCCTTCAGGGCGATGGCGTCATGGCGTTTTAACATGCCTTCCCCAGCCATCCAGTCGTCCAACTCACCTGTACACAACCACAACAACACACTCGACGGACAGAAACAATGCGACGGCCACTCCACACATCCGCTGGTGGCCTAGTCTGCTGCCGCGGTTCGCATGTTCGGCCAGACACTTTCCTATCATCAACTCCATGATCGTTCCATGGGGGAGCGAACTGAAGGTACCATGGTAGGAACTACTCTTATAGCTGCTACCTGACTGTGCTAATCTCTTTGGTACCCGAATTTTAGGACGCAAGCTTTTCTGCACAGCACAGTCAATTCCGCTTATTCTTTTTTAAAAGATCATTACACAAATTACTATGGACGCCACGAACGTTGGATGGACGAGCGTCAGACCGGAGAGCGACGAAGAGCGATTCGGTGCGCGGTCACAAGAACGACAAGCAGCCTTTGACAAGATCGAAGCCGAGCGCAGCACTATCGAAATTGATTCCGTGCTTTGGGCGTTCTTCCAGTTCGCCAGACTAGACTTTGTGGAGGCGTTGGCAGCGTCAGATGCTGTTTGGAATGCAGAGACCGATTTTGTGCGCACGAACGCTGCTATGGATGCCGTAAGGCTCTGGCAACAAAAGCCAGAAGTAAAGAACGACGTCGCATTCTCCAACGCCGTCGCACCCGTCTCCCGCCCCCATACCGCCTCCGGGAAAGCATCGCGGACAAGATCAGGACGAAGTGAGGGCGGCCAAGAGGCCAGCACTGGAAGATCAGCGGTTGTCGCAGCTCGCTGTAAAGATCGAGACGGCAACCTTTGTGCCGTATCAAGGACAAAGGGTGCAGAAGCGGTTAGTAAACTCGCTGTACGAACTGCATATGAGACAACAACTGACTTTCTAAACCGATCTTTAGGCCCACATTTATCCATGGAGCGCGTTTAGAGAAACGAGCCCGGAGCGAGTGAAGCTGTTTTGGGCTACCATGAGAATCTTCTGGAAGAAGGCAGACGTAGACGCATGGCGCGAGCAGATCTTTGTCGACAACAATGCGAGCTCCAGAGGCACAGAGAATGTCGCCAACATGATCTCGCTGACCTCGACACTACACACCTTCCACACTCAAGGTGCGTTCGCGCTGCGCCCTGTACAAATCTCCGACGACAAGAAGCAGTTGGAACTAGAGTTCCATTGGTTGGTCATAGAGGAGCGCGAGAGAGGTACCAAGGCCAAGCTCATGGACATGCCGGAGTCCTCAGAAGACCGGACAGAGTCTGGCGACGGCTACGGCCCGTTTGCACGAAGGGATCCCAACGGCAGCCAGCTCCTGAAGAGCGGACATAGATTCATCATGTCCACCGACGACCCGCTGCAAAAACCTTTGCCGGACCCAGGTAAGCTTTACCTGCACGTCAACCTAGGAAAAACCTGAACAGGCCTGGAGCCTACATCAATGTCAGGCCACCTACCTTGCAGGTTTCTAAGTTGATGTAGGCTGCAGACCTGTTCAGTCTTTTCGTTGTATGAGGTGCCTGTACGCAACACATGTGAAACATACACTGACTTCGTGACTCATTAGGCCTGCTCGCTTTGCAGTGGCACCTTCAGCGTATCCTCGCGATGACTGGCGCGGCTGGTTGGCGCGACGAAGCTTTCGATGACGACGACGACGACGACGAGGATGCGGATGGCGTGCCCGCTCGGGATGTTGACAGCTGGATCCGACAACTCCCTGAATCACCCTCCGGCTATCAAGCGCCAACTGACACATTTGGTCAGGAGACGTCGTGAAAGCATGAGAGGGAAAGCAATATCCCGAGGGATGGGGAACTAAGGGTGTATCTTCCAGTATATCTAGCACAGGGCCACTTATCACGTATCCATTGGTCACTTCCAGAATGTACCACGTACTATTACATTGATCCATTCGTCATCGAGAGACTGTGACATACACATCCATCGTCCAGAGCGCATTCACCGGGTCGTGACACTACGATCGGAATTGCGCATTCCGCGCGACGCCTGGCGTGCTCGTGGCGGCAGTACCGTTGCGCGATATGTGTCTGACGAGCCACGGTAGTTCCGTTTTTCTCTATGCAAGTACAAGCATTGAGCGTGAAATGGTAGTTGTATCAATCCCAATTGCGTACCGGCGTTGAGGTCGCGGTGCGGGAAGTGCGGGGCGTGGCCAAAGCGCAGGGTGGATAATGACCCGCCACTACCCACAGAAAGGACGCCACCACACCGCCATTCCACCCATAGATGAGGATGTATACGATGCGCATTACCATGTCTTCTTGATACACAAGTACTTTCCATCGTATATCGTTCAGACATGTCTCACGCGTGGTCCGTCCACGCCCCATATTGGCAGAGCTCCAATCATGCCAGTCAATTGGTAGTCGACAGAAACCAGGTTCCTCCTGGTACTGTACCGCCGAGAACTGTACAAGTAAGCCATCGCGCCTTCGGTCCGTCTACAAAGCAACACTGACGTAAGAAGCAGGAACAGCTAAAGAGCATGCCAGATGCACTACCAAAACTAAGACTCATGCTGAATGAAGAGCGCCGGTATAGTTTCAACATCTACACGAATACACAGGGCGTTCGAATCGAGAGACACCCACTTTTACGCGCTACTACGCATACCGTTACTCAGCACCTATTCATCTCCGAAAAAAGGACACATGGGCACACACGCGAGCATGGCATCGTTACGCGATGGAAGTCGATCAATGGCAAACCGGAGCTTGATATCAAAACCGGTAGAAAGACCGAGTGCATGTCTGCCAGATCTTGGCTGCTAGAACGATATGGCGGCGATGTCACTCGTCGGGACTTATTCAACGAGTGGTTCGATCTTTACCATACGTCGTTTCGATTCATGGATCTTCCGCTTGAACTGCGGTTCATGATCTTTGAGGCATCGATAGGGCCGGTATTATGGCCTCATCATAGAGTCACTGCAGAGTCGCAGGCAGCTCTGATGACCGGCCGTCGTGCACATGATGCAACACCTGCATCACAGCATGATCAAAACAACACACCACGTAACTCATCTCCACAAGACGCGAAAACGAACGTCAACACCTGGCCACGGGGAATATCCATCAACGCGCCAAGGCTGAGAGACAAAGTATCCTGCCATCGTCCGCCATCCAGCCGTCCTTACGGATCGACCCGCAAAGCTACCGGTTGGATCAAAACCCTACTACTCGTCAGCAAAGCATTCAGTTCCGAAGCCCAGAAGACGATCTGGGAAAGTACAATCAAGAGATTCGACAACATAGCAACTCTGACCAGAACGATCCCACATCTCGATGCCATCCCATTCAACGCACTCCGACGCGTATCACTCACATTCAGCGACCGCGCATACCTCCGTCTCCTCGGCTTCAATACCACCGCCGAGTTGGCATTCGCGCCGCTTCCCGCTGAGAAAGCTAATCGCTTGAGCGTCCTGACTTCCATCAACACCATCGAATACCTTGACCTCCACTTCCAAGCCCCCCTACCCTTTCGACGCCTCGGCGATAGACTTCATCCTGTCACGCAGTTCAAGGTTGATCCTGTTGCTATGCAATGTCAGAAAGTGTGGGTTGAGTGGGTTCTCACACTCTTGTATGAGCAGTTTGTACAAAGGTATGAGGAAGGGGAGAATGTACCAATGGTTTCTGTGAGCGGAGATGTGAAGAACAGTACTAGGTGGGAGTGGGAATCCATATGGAAGGATTTCAAGCATGGAGTCAGGCGGGATTTTGCGGAGAAGACTGCGGAGATCAAGGCTACGCCTGGGACGATGGTGTAAGTACGCTCAGTGTTCGTCGTTTCGTCGCACTAACATTGCTTAGCCCGGTTTGCTATTGCGAAAGCCCGTGTGGTTGGGTAGAAGCTGCGCGGCCGAAACCCGGTTGCGGATGTGAGGTCGTTGCCGAGTTCAACTGCAGGGGTTAGCTGAACACGCGGAGTCTATGCCAGACATCACCTTGATTCATTGAAAAGCACACCGTCATGAAATATAAAGTGATTAGATCTCTCATTGATCATTTGTGACTACTCGCAGCATGCAGATTTCTCAGCAGTCCAGACTAACAATAGCAGCACTACTCCACGGTACCTCCACACTAATCATACCCTTCCCATCCACCTCCACACTCTCCCCACACGTCACATTGTCCATGCGCACAGGCTTTCCCTCATCGAGCTCATAGTTATAACTATACCCATCCCACGTGATACCCGTGATAGCATCACTTCCGTTCGCCAACAACCTCTGCACTTGCGCTTCGCCCTTGCAGTCGCTGGGAAGTTGGAACGAGTACTTCTCGACCGGACGTGTGAAAGGTGTGGTGTAGTTGTTATCAGCGGTTGTGTTGTAGGTATGTAGGTCGACGAGGAGAATGCGGGCGAGCGTATCGTCGACGTGGGCGGTATATTGGGTAGCGTAGATGGAAGATGAGGGCAGCTCAGAGATCTTGAGTTCAGACTCAGACGAAGGTTTGTGCATGAAGGCTGCGACGGCAACGTTGCCGTAGTACGGTGGCTTCGTTCCTCGAGCTGTGAGGTTTGTTTCGATTGGTTGCCAGGATTGGTAGCTTTGTTGATGTTGTCAGCTCACGAACAAGTTCATGCTGGGGAAATGGTAACTTACCGGTAGTTTGTTCCTTGATGCATATGAGAGCGGGTAAGGTTCTGCGACGCGAGATACGTGTTCCAATCTACACCCCACAGCGCAGCACCGAAGCTGTTGCTCAGACCAGGTCGTCCCTGTCGGGCGAGCGAGTTGTGTTCGCCCATGACGAAGGGGACATTTGGAGCCAGCGCGTCTCCTAGCGCCTTGATGCCGTCTTTAACGCCGATCTGTTCGTCTGCCTTGGCGAGGACACTGCTGTGGTTCATCAACGTGCCTTGTAGTGTGATACCGGGATTCGTTGAGACGCCCATGTAGTTGTGCGAAGCGATCAGGCCGATGTTCTGCTTCTCGTCCAATCCCTGCTTGAAGACTTCGACGGGGTCCAATTTGAAGTAGTCGTTGACTCCGATGCCTGCAAAGCTCGGTGCCATGAACTTGGTGCCAGCGAGGTCTGGGCAGGCTGCATTGGTGGCCTCCTCAATGGCAGTCGTACCGTTCAGCCACTCAGATACATAGTCGGCCTCCGCCCAGCTGTCGTTTCGGTATCCAGAAGCAGTGAAGAGATCGGGCTCGTTGCCGTACTCCCAAAACAGCAGGTTGCTTCCTATCGCTTTGCAGGCGTGGGAAACAGATGCCCATGTCGCGGTCCTTGCAGCGCTGGAGTTGGCGCCCATGTTGAAGCCGTGAACAAATCGCGTGCCTTCAGGCATGGTTTTGTAGGACTCGAAGTATGACGGGCCAATAGTGATGATGGTCGGATAGTCGGCGGAGATGTTTGGGCGAATGATGCCGACGAAGCTGGTCTCGAGCGATTCATCGAAGATGGCGATATCCCTAAATCTTGAGTAAGCTACATGCATTTAGAATCGCGATGAAGGGGACGTCTTACTGTGTGTTGCCGCCGACGCGAGCAATCGGCATTGAGCCTTGCAGCTTGCCAAGGTTGCTCATGAGGTTGTATGAGAAGGCATTGGGATGCGACAGATTGCCTAGACGCAGTGATCGTCAGTCAAACTGTCGTGACGATTTGGGATATCGCAGGAGACGTACCAGCAAAGTCGGGCCATGATGAGAACTCAAAGGAATACGAGACGAAAGAGTCCAAGGGAACACCGGCATCGTTGGGTGCAGATTTTGGAATCGCAATTGGTTTCGTCCTGGATGAGATGTGAGCAGCCTCGGCCTTTAGAAAAGCACCGAGAGCTGCAACAGCAAGAGAGCGCTTGATTGAGGGTGACATGGTGGGCGTTGGATCGTCGCTGCCATAGCTTGAAGACCGTCTGCGCGTTGTTTATGGGCGTCGCCGGCAACGGAGATTTTGACTGGGACGTCATGCGGCAATTGAAAAGCATGGCCTCGGTCAATTCTTTAGTATCTTCGTTGGAGATCTGCACTGTATGCGGGGAATTTACTGGGGTAAATGCGTGGAAAGCCGGGGTAGCTGCCAGCCTCTTTTTCTGTTGGTGACGCGCGCGTGCATGCACGCGTTCGATTAACCTGGGTTGCGGCTCGAGTTCGGGAACGCTTGTCCAAAGGAGAATAGGCCATCCTCCACTTCCCGAATGGCAGTCACAACAATTTCATATGCCGTACCCAGAGTCATATCTCATCGCTCTTGGCTTGCAGTGGTTATCGCACAACAAACACCTCGTAGGTGGAATAATTCACGGCAGTAGTGCATACCTAGGCAGCATCGCCAAGTCCGTCTGCCCGGAAGCGACTTACATGGACTTGCGTTAATGAGTATTTGTCGACCTCAGTTCTCCACCTCGGAAGGCGTTGTACCACGTCGACCATTCGCATCTAGCTCAGATTTTTCAAAGTCTCAGCATCACTTTCGCCCCATGGGTACACCTCCTCCGCTTGCTTGACCAACTCTCTGCACTTCTCACTCCTCGGTACGATGCTCACACGATATGGCTTTGGATGGCTTATCACGCCAGGCTCAAACTCAACCTTGGGCTCTACTAGCTTCCCATTCTCGACAGGCTTCCCGACATTGAATACAGCCAGCGACTGCGCGATTGTCGCAAAAAGAGCGTTGTCTGCGACATAGCGTCCGGGGCAAACTCGACGCCCGTAGCCAAATGTCCACGTACGTGGATCGGGCTCCGCGGTATGGGTTGGCGTCGTGATGTAGCGTTCGGGACGGAAGGTCATAGGATCAGGGTAGACGGCTGGGTCGTGTGTGAACCACCTACATGCTGTCAGTCACGAATACGTCTGCTTCTTGCACTATCATACGTACCAGTTGTTAGGTAGTATCATTGCTCCTTTCGGTATTCTATACCCATTGATGCTATCCTCTTGCGTGCAGGAATGGGGTATTGACATGGGCCCCACAGGATGCCATCGATGCGTCTCTTTCACCACGGCCTCAATATACGGCAAACTTGCTTTATCGCTAGTAATGGGTAGTCGCCCTCCGCCAATCACACGGTCCAGCTCCTCTTGCGCCTTCTTCTGAACTTCCGGAAAGACGGCCATGGCCAGGAAGAATGTCATTAACGATGACACGGTGGTGTCCGCGCCGCCCAGGTACATGGATGCCGCGGACCATTTGTTGATGTACTCCATAGACGCGTCTGAGCCGAGAGATTCGATGGCTTGAGAAAGGAAGGATGTCTTCGCTTTCTTATCACGCATTTGCGATTTCACGAAAGCATAGGGCTCTTCGGCCGTGCGTATCAAGGTCTTTGCCATCTGCCGAGCTGTACGCTTGAAGCCGGTACCTGGACACCAGTCTGGGAGGAAACGTACTTTTCGAAGTCAGCACGCGCTACTGCATACATGGTGGCCTGAGAGTACGGAGGCAAGCTTACAGAAAGGTATGACGTCTACAGGCCATTTTCCAGGCACACTTGCGTCAGCAAACTCGGCCATTGCCTGCCCTGCTACATCTACTAGCGGATCTGATCCCTTCGCGTTTGGCGTATAGCCATATGTAACTCTCAAAATGACAGCACCTGCTTCTTTCCTGATGTGTTCGAATAGATCATTAGGAGACTCCATGACATTCAGGAGGAAGTGTGCAGCTTCTTCGTTCTGGACGCGATCAAAGACGGCAAGAGACGTGCTGGAGCTGGCTACTTTCGCAATGTTGCGACGATGGTGTTTGAAGTTCTGATCGGGTTGATGCATTGCCAACGTCTTGGTCCAGCCAATCCTGCTTGTTCGTCAGCCATCTCATCGCTCCGTATAGGCGCCAGGTGCGTACATGTCTCCACTGAACACCATATGTGGCCTCCCCGAGTAGATCGCCGCCCTGTTGCTCAGAAGCTCTACTGCTATATTCGCATCGTTGACGATGACAAAGGTCTGACCTAGAACCGTGACCGAGCTTATAGGACCATAGAGGTCCTTGTGCTTGAGCCAATGATGGCACTCGAGGATTCCAGGCTTCGGTAAGTCATTGATGTTGCCAATGAGAGGAATGCCTTTGGGACCCGGAGGGAGCGGAAGATCATGGTTGTTCTTACGCAAGAAGAAGCGGCTGAGTGTGTAGAATACGATAGTAACGACGACGATGAGAAGAGGTGTCGATGCTAGAAATGTCATATTGAGGTCACCTTACTTGTACCAGCGACGAACGATGGTCTACCAAGTAGGAAGGAATCCAGCTTTTGGGACGAGACCGAGGAAGTACGTCCACAGCATATTGGACTTCATGCTGATTGAGCCGCGCGAACCTTGGATTTTTTTCCGCCCTACGCCCGACGGTAGCCTATGTGCTTCGAGAAGGTTAGTGCCGGTGGAGCAGTCGCGGGAATATCATTCTTTCAGGGTAGGTAGTACCGCGTGTACAGGCATGCTGCAGGCGTAGTTGCTGACAATCAGTATAGCGCGCTCCTACGCCATACTCGGTAGGAGAGCGAAGCGGTCGTTAGGCACCCGAAGTAGAAGGACGTGTGTAAGCATGCCGCTGCCTATCATATAACAATGATATATGCCAATATACCAGCGATATGATTCGTGAGTTCGGACCGCGGCTGGGCAACAGTGTGCGACGGAAGACGGGACATGGTGGAGATGGTACGGTGCAGGTGCTTCACGAAGTGTGCGCCACACTGCAAGCAGGGGCTGTGGTACCCCACCACCCCACCTAACAAACTTGGCATAGCTTTGACATGTCAGAACACGTTCAACGAACTACCCATGATTAAGCTTTAACACAGCACGTTTCAATGCGTGCAATTAGTATTCATGGCTAACTAGGCAGTACACTTATCTCAATAGGTTCTCAGTTGCGGGATTATTCAGCCACAGCTCAGCCATCCTTCAGCCATAAGTACCGAAGACTACAGGCCAAGGAATACCCATCAGAGCTTCAGTACCTTACAGATATTACCTGCTTAGAGGACGGTTCAGCCAAACAGCAAACCGAAGGCGGCTGAGCCTTAGTGGAATTTGAGGTCTAACCTCAAAGTCACACGTTTGTTGTGAACAGTCTGGTCACACTGCAGATGGACCTTCGCAAGTCTTGACCTTACACCACCAGAATCAGCCGCATACATGGTTTGGCTCCGATTTTGAAAGCTTAGTCCTTTCACACCAATCTTGCCCATTGTTTGGAAGTCCTTGTGTAGTGTAGCCCGAAACAGCTCGCCAAATTGATCGTCCAACAAGACCCACGGGGAGACATTCTCAGCAAAGCCACATATCAACACGACCTCACCCATGCAGTCTGAACTCTCGGTCACAGTTCCACTTCGTGGAAGAAGGATAGCCTGCATACTCAGACATTGAGGTCAGAACGGGCTGGAATAGACCCAGTAATAGTAGTAGCGTACCTTGGAGATTACGTGGAACCTGAGAAATGCGGTGAAGTTCCGCAAACCACGCGTAAGAAAGACATTATTCTGGGCATCCCAGAGCTCCCTAGGCTCTACCTCGAGTAGCTTAACTGTCTTGTGGCGCCCGGACTGCATCGGAGCGTTAAGGCTTGGAATCGTGAAGTAGAAGGCATTAGGAGTCCTGCTGGCACCGTTGAGTGTACCGGTGGCGACTGCCTTCCGCACATCCTTGGTGACGAATATGCTATTCCCACCCGCGGTGGAAGTTGGCGTTATCAACTCGCCAAGCATATGAGGTCTTGCGCGAACGTACGAACTGGCGCCTTCATGTTTGAGAATCACCCCGAGGTGTACCTTTCTCTTCCCTTGGACTTCAGCAGTGTAACAATGTAGCGGCATGATGACGTCTTCTGAGTCTTCAGTGGGTTTCAGGAAGGTGACAATTCGCAGGCCTTTATTCGACATGGAATAGTCTGGGTTGAACCTGAGGTCCTGCTCGAGCACAAGATTGCCAAGGCTCGCGAACTCGTCCGGGCTGCGAGCCAGTATGCCGCGATACGGGGATAATCCGTTAGCTGCCGTCCACGCAAAGAGGCTGAGATCGTTACTGTTATGAATGATCTCTTCTTGTAGACGAAAGAATGCCTTCTCAGCACCCTCGCCATACAGCATGGGCATGCTGACATCGAACAGCCCGATTAAACAATACGCCATGTCTTCGGGTTTGGTGGTCTGTCGGCCTGCAGCCCACGCCATGCGTCGACCAACTGGTAAAGCGTCGAGAAGGTCACGGATTTCCAAAGCCCCTGGCTGCTGCGGCGGCAAAAGGAAGCCTGCGTCGATGCCCGTAATGGACGCCAGCTCGTCTCGTAGTGTTTCTTGCGTGCCGAAGCAGCGCCAGGCATGGTCGTAGAAGTGTACGGTCCGCGACGCTACAATTTCCTGCAGTGTCCATCCGCGTTTAAACCAGCGGGCACCGCGCAACATTGCGTTCCGGTCGCTCGGGGAGGTGGAATTATCGTAATCGGACAGGTAGACTAAACACAGGGCAGCATCGCTATACCACTGAAACATGGAGTTGATGGACTCGGTCAGCTCAGCATTGTTGGTTTTGTCTATACAGCATGAGTCGATCCAAACATAATTGAAGCCGCACCGCTGGGCTTCAAGGCACGTCTGCTCGATCTTAGTCCAGCCTTTGGCTACGGCGCGCGTGACATGGTGGTGGAAAGCCTGGAAGGTAACTTCTTCGCCATCCCACGTATGTGAGAGAATGGCAAACGCATGCGGTGGGCGCCCAAGGAAGTCGATCATCTGCAAGGGTTCGCTACAACAGTCAATCAGCCTCATTGTGGAATAGAGTGAATGATTATGTTGATGTGAGTAAGTGAATCGATGAGTGTGAGGACGGAAGAGCCATCTGAATCGAAGGAGATTATGGTGAGATGGGTCTGTGCAGTTGCGTCAGCCGCGCATGCACCAGGCAGCAGCTGTAAGGCTGCGGAGGCTTTATTGGTTCACTCAATTGCAAGAATGGCATTGAGAAAGTAATTGGACTGTTGTATTGATGTTGCGAGCGTGAGAGCTGTGAAGAAGTATTAGCAACTATCAACACCATGCGATTGCGAGGTGCGGGAGCGGAGGCGATGCATCTGGCCATGTGGGCGGAGACTGTACGCTTACACAGCCATCCGAAGCCACGCAGCAAACCGGCAAGCCAGCGACATCGCGACACCACAGCAAAGGCAACAAAAGAGAACCGCAACACCTTATCACTACCAAAGAATTTGGTGCAACAAAAGCATGTCTCCTCCATTCCTCGCCCTTAAGCCATCAAATCGGCTCAACGGGGTTGAAGAACAAAGGCCTCACCACCTTGAAGGGGGTAGATGAGGTTGTTTAATCTTGCTTCACTGTCCACACTTGCTCAACGTGAGAATCCGTAATGGCAAGCTCTAGCAATTTTAGAAGCGGATATCGATCCCCCATTAAGATAAAAGGAGAAAGGATGAGAAAAGGTCGAAGGTCGAAAAAGACAACTCCCTCAAAGCCAACACCCCACTAGGACGGACATGTATAACGTGTGTAACGTGTATGGCGTGCATAGCGTGTGTAACGTGTATGACGAACCATAGAACCACAGCGTGTATAACGTGTATGATCTCAAAAGCCCTCAGTAGCTATATGCCGACGAAGTCGACATGAAGCATAAGCCCACAGCCCTCAGACAACATCCCGAAGGCGTTGTAACCATATTGATCGGCTGGAACTCAAGGTTCCAATGCCGCACGGGTTGGTCAGACCTGTTCCATACTCCATCTCCGGGTTGAGCCCCCGAAGTATAAGAGCTTCTCGCTTTTGAGGCCGCTGCAGCAACCTCACCGCGAAAGGCGCTGGAACGTAGTGCGTCGCCTTGTCGATAGTGACGGATACAGCCATCCATTGCCACCAATCGTTGGAGGGGGAGTTCGCGTAGTCGACCGGGGCCATTGCCTAAAGGCAGGGTAGCATCCGACGTATGGGCGAGTCGCTCCCTCCGATTCCGCCGCAGCGGAACCGACTGTTAGAGGGCGTTAACAGTCGTTCTGAGCCATGCACCCGACAACACAGCCCTATTGCAAGTCCCACGCGGACGCGCTAGCCTCAACAATAGGGAAGGGTCAGCTCATGGGAAAGCCTCCACACAGGTGGCTCTCGTGCATGGCCACAAAGTTGAACGCGTCAACCCACGGGTGCCTTGTAGCAAAATGTGCCAGGGGCCATGCGGCCTATCGAAGACCGTCCGGAGACGGCTTCATATCTGTTGGCTTCTTCCTCTGAGATAGGGATCTAAGACTGCCGAAGCTCTTGTTGTGAGCAAGAGGTCCAGCCTCTAAACACCCCATATCTCAGTGTCGGGGGAAATCCCCTGCTTGCGAGGTCCGTGAAATGTTGACGCGTTCGGTTTATATGGTTCGTATGTGACCACCGTCTGACCTAGGGAGAGACTAAGTTCCGCAGAGCAGAGTCTCAAATCCCTAGCGACACTGTGGATTTTGACAATCGTGACGATTCAAACAAATCTGGTTGCTTAGTTAGTGCTGAAGGCATTGCGTTGGACTGAGAGAAGACTTACCCTCCAAGCCAACACCTGTGCCAATCCCAGCCGAGTAGGTCAGCGGATCACATGGCGACACGCCTAGTGCACAACAGTCCAACGGGATTGCTCCGCGCATGGGAGCTGTGCTTCGGCAGTCATATATGCGTCCGTTCACTTCCTCGACTGCAGATAAAACCACCTCCTATCTCGCAAGACCAGAGGGGCACAAGGGGGATGGGTGGGTTCAGGGGGTGGATAATTCATAGTGGAAGATGTCGACGCTAATCGCGTCCGACGCGTCGACATTGTGCCATGTCAAGACATGGCGAGCAACAAGAGCAGTCCAGAGCCGCAACGGGGATGGAATGAGGGAGTTGTGAGGAAAGGACACGAAGGAAGTCGCGTTGCCTTTATAAGCTGAGACACGAAGGAGGGGGGCTGGAAGCGAAGAATTTGGGTGTTCGGGAGTTGGCCTGTGTTCTCCTTGGCGGTGGCCCATGCAGTCGCGTCATCGAAGCGCATGGAATGACGGACGACACCACCAGCACAGGGGCGCGTTTCAACTCTCGCAAGCACGCGACATGGTGAGTTCTGGAATGCAGGTCGTAGTAATGGATAGCAATTAACACGTGATAGCCTCCTAAACGACGTGGTCCTCCATCCAAGGCGCCGCCTGTCAAACGCCCCTCGAAGCTCGCGAAAGAGAACGGCATCACTGCGGCGCAAGAGGCGGAAATTCGCGAAGCATTTGGCCTTTTTGCCGTGTCGCATCCCGAACATGAAGATTCTAAGGAGGGCGTACTGAAGAAAAGCGATGTGCGCAGAGTTCTGATGTAGGTCACGCGAATGCGCTCGAGAGCAGCGCGCCCATGCTAACGACTGCAAAGCTCGCTGAACCTCACACCCGACAAGTCCGAGATGCCTTCAATCTTATCCACCATCGACCCTCTCAATACTGGCTATGTCGAGTTCGTGCCCTTCCTCTCATACGCTGCGATCGCCATTCACTCGAAAGAACAAGGGTCCGACGAAGAGGACGACGACGAAGACTTCCAGGCAGAGAGCAACGCGGAAGAAGTTAGCGCGGCATACAAGCTGTTCACACACGGCGCTGCGGGACCGATAACGCTTGGGCATCTCAGGAGGGTAGCCAAGGAACTGCGAGAAGACGTGCCAGACGAAGTCTTGAAGGATATGATCATCGAGGCCAACGGCGGGGTCAAGGGTCAGGAGAAAGACGTGGGAGGGGTTAGTCTCGAAGACTTTGAGAGCGTCATGAAGAGGGCCGGCCTGTCTTTCGGGTGAAGCGTTCGAGGCAACTGCGCGACTCACGGAACGCTGCTCTGCACGATCATTGCGAAGCCCTTGCGAATACCACTATCGAACGCGCTCACGGCGACCGTTCAAGACCCCTCGCGAAAGGATTTCAGCTTCTCGACCTCCCAGCGCTCCACCCTACCCGTCTTCTCCATGCTATGCAGATGATAACCCCGCCAGTGAGCGCACTCAATCCCCAGCATGGGAGGCCGGTATACAAGGGAGGAGGCACTGAAGCTATGGTTTGAGATAGATCACATATCGGTGGAAGATATCTACACGGATCAGGAGACTACATGTTGTAATGGTGGAATACACATTGACAACATATGCGTAGTGTATCTGTAGCATAATCAAAAGATACCACGTCGTCTGGACTTGACTGCAATGCCAAATATAGCCGCGCCGATAAGCCGGCGCGATTGGATAGTGGCGCGGCAGGGCTGAAGTGGAAATGTTTTGCCAAGATTCAGGGACCTCACTCAACAAGCACACGAACACGAATGCAGCAGGCTTGCGTAACGCCAATCGCAATTTCACCTCGTCTCCCACTGCTCTGAACAGTCACTCCTGTTGTACGTAGCCTGAAACTGTGTTCACATTGCCACTCGTCCCTGGCTAACTCAGTTCCAGCTCAGCTCAATGACCGCGCCCTAAACTTGGACCCTTTTCTCCCCTCGTGTCGCCTAGTCCCATGTCCAGTGGAGTTGAGGTCCCCGGAAGCCAACGACGTCCCGGCATCTGGTCCTACTTTAGTTTCACTGGCCCACGCCGCCGCGTCTCCGTCTCCCTACCACGCAACGTCGACCCCAATCGCGACGCCAGCGACCCCAACGCCAAAGCAGACCGACACTCGCGCCATCGCTCCACGTATTCGGACGCATTCATGAACGACCACAAGGGCAGCGCCGTCATGAACCAAGGGCAGCGCATGCGCTACCTGAAGACAGGTGGCGTCATTGCTTTCATACTGCTTGTGTTGTATTTCGTCGCACCGCGCGATGGCATCTCAAGACCGGCAGGTAGGTTGACGACACATACTGGGGAAGGCACGTGCTAATACCGTCATCAGTATCCCGTCCAGCAGGCGGCAACACAGCAGCTGGCGACGCAAAGGCCGAATGCACAAAGTCCTTCTCCAAGGACAAGCCGCTCATCCAGTATGCCCTCATGATCGACGCCGGCAGTACCGGCTCCCGCATCCACGTCTACAAGTTCAACAACTGCGGCCCCAGCCCCGAGCTCGAGAGCGAGAACTTCGAGATGACACCCAAGAGAGACGGAGGCTCTGGTCTTTCGGCGTATGGCGACAACCCGGAGGCGGCTGCCAAGAGTCTGGACGTGCTCATGGACGTTGCGCTGAAGAACGTGCCCAAGGAATACCAGTCGTGCACACCCGTCGCTGTAAAGGCAACGGCCGGTCTCCGCAAGCTCGGTGAGCAGAAGAGCAATGCCATCCTCGCCGCCGTGCGCCACCACCTCGACAACGACTACCCGTTCCCCCTCGTCTCGGAAGAGAAGAACGGCGTCGAAGTCATGCCTGGCGAGATGGAGGGAGTATACGCGTGGATCACAGTCAACTACCTTCTAGGCAAGATTGGTGGCCCGGATAAGAACCCTACCGCCGCTGTCCTCGATCTCGGTGGTGGCTCTACCCAAATCATCTTCGAGCCCACCTTCCCCGACACTCCCCGCGGCGGACTCCCCACAGAGCTAGCAAAGGGCGACCATAGGTACGAGCTCGACTTTGCGAACCAGAACTTCAATCTCTACCAGCATTCGTACCTTGGCTACGGTCTCATGGAGGCCCGCAACAACATCCACAGCACTCTTCTCGCTGGCCTCCACGAGAACAACAAGGACAACAAGGAGTACCTCCAGAAGCCCATCGTCAACCCTTGCATCGCCCCCGGCATGACTCGCGAAGTCGAGGTGCAAATGCCCAAGGGTCACGCACTTGGCGACTCCGTCACAGTCAACATGACCGGCCCTGCCACCGCCTCGCCCACCCAATGCCGCGGTCTAGCCGAGAAGACCCTCCACAAAGAGGACGAGTGCGCCATCGCGCCTTGTGCCTTCCGCGGTGTCCACCAACCACCATTCGAGCAGACCTTTGCCACCGAAGCCGTTTACCTCCTCTCCTACTTCTACGACCGCACCCAGGACCTTGGCATGCCCGAGTCTTTCACACTCCGCGAGCTACAAGACCTAGCCAACAAGGTGTGCACGGGCGAGAAGGGCTGGGACTCTTTCAACGCTGTGCCCAAGGCCATTGAGGAGCTCAAGGGCAGGCCTGAGTGGTGCTTGGATCTTAACTTCCAGTATGAGTTGTTGAGGAGTGGGTATGGTATGCCGATTGATCGTGAGGTCAAGATTGCGAAGAAGATTAAGGGTAATGAGCTGGGATGGTGTTTGGGTGCTAGGTAAGTCTTTGTGTGCCCTCATTAAAACTGCGGATCGTGCTAACGTAATAATAGTCTTCCGCTTCTTGAGGCGAACTCAGGATGGCAGTGCAAGATCAAGCAGGTTCAATAGATGCTTTCGCTTATACGAAGTTGTTGCCACGCTAGAGGACAATGTTTGACGCCCTGTTTTTTGTGGGCATCCCTGTCACAATATGCATTGATTGGCGTTCTTTTGGGTACGGTCGTGACGCTCATGTCGCCAATGGGACTGATTACTGGCCGTTGGCCTAGGTGTTGGTATAGACCACAATGGAACCCCTTGTCTTATGGTCGTGCCCTATTAAGTCTAGTCTTGGACTCGCCATGATGTCCATGTTCACTCTTTCGTCTTCTCTCGCCTGATCGTGAAGAGGGATGGCCTGACAATGAATCAACACGGTCTTCGTTGCGCAGCTCAGACCACGCGGGAAGCGGTGGCGGTGGATCAAACCAGTCCAAATCGTGTCGTTCTCTCCAGGCTTCGCCCCATCTCCACGCCTGGCTGGGTTCGTCTATCTTCATATGTTCTGAAATTTGCTCCAGATCTACGGGTTCGTCCAGAGTCTTCATGGGGAAGTCGCACATGACAAACGACGTGGCCTTTAGAATGGCATCGATGGCCTCTGGGAAACCCTCCATAACAAAAGCAGATTCCCTCCGAATGTCGATCCACCTTTGCGCATCGAAGAGAGTGCGTGTTCCACTACTGGGGTGGGCTATGCTATCAGGAAGGCTTGTAGCACGTACGAAGGCAACCTGTGTAGCCGCGTCTGCAATCACAACATCGAAGATGGCAGAGTTGTCGATCTCACACGGCGTGTCCGTTAGTACGAGTTTGAACGCATTCTCGGGCATTCCCAAAGAAGGCAGAATGACAGCCTCCATTATCCAATCCACAAGGCTCTTGCTGATCCAAAGAGACGGCAGACCTCCACCACCACCAGGCCAATCCGTTACCAACGGGCTGGACCCAGCGGGGAAAGCATTCCTCCAAAGGTCTACGCGACGCTCAATACGTAACTTCTTGTTCTCTTGGCAGAATTGGACAAGTCCACGCGCATGACTCTCGGGCCACGCAACTGATTTCCGATCTTCGTGCAGCACAACTTTCCTCATCTCCAGCCTCGCTTCCCTCGATACATGGCTCAAAAAGTGAATCGCCAGGGAAGCAGCTGAAGAGCGTTGTTTTTCCCCACTCCAGAACGCTTCGGTCTCGTCGGATAGGGCTCTCCCCAACATGAGCGCGTTGGGTGGTCTGGGTACGCCCGCGGGCATAAACACTAGCATCTTTCGGACATCCTCAAGCGTGGGTATGCACCAGGGCTCGGAATCTGGTAGCAAGTTTGCGAGGCGCTTGAAGTACGAATCGACCGAGGGTGTTGCGTCGACAATGTATTTGAGTTCCGATTTGACGAATTGGCGGATTGTAGAAGGAGTTTTCTTCCAATTTCTGCCATCTCCGGCGACGTAATTGGAGCTCTCAAAGCTTTGTACATCTGGCAAGAACTGCGCATAGTGTTCTTTTACCTTGGCCAAAACCTCTGGGTCGAGGAGCGTTTCGGCGTTTTGCACAAGTTCTAGGAGCCCTTTCGATCTTTTGCGGTGGAGCTCCTTAGTGTAGTATTCAAAGGATCCAAGTCTTTCGTTCATGCTCGGCTCCCAGCAGGTTTCCACGTGGGCTTCATTGTACTGGAATGCGAGACCGCACGTTTCCGCTGCAATTTGCCGGTTGACAAAGCGCAAGTCTAGCTCGATGCGAGTCCCATCGATGGAAGTGAATTTATTGGTAGCATTATCAAGCCAGTAGCCGTGTTTCAGAGAGAAATAGTGCTCGTAGATCTCGATTCGAAGCTCTTTCGGAAGACGCAAAAGACTTACGGTCGCCATGATTGCCTAGAACGTCGGTTCTTTCTGAACTTGTCGTGCGTCGTAGATATCGGATGGATTTCAAGAGCTGCGTCGCTCAGCGAAGAAGAAGATGCGGCCTGATATTGTTACGCGTAGAAGTCACATCTCTCGGTGATGTTGTTCGGTTGGGCATGTTCAACTGACGTCAGTTAAAATCTTTACCTCGACCCAAGCGAATGTCTGGCCTCGCAAACATCGAAACTTCTTTGACACATACTATTCCAGCGCCTGCTTCTGGCTTCGCGCACGAGCTGGACAGGTTCTGCGCGCGTGAACTTCACGACTTGGCCAGCAATCTACCACGGTACTGACATGCGGCCGCGGGTCAGGGAACTGATATTATACTAGAGGATGATGTTTGATGCCTTAGCGTTTTAGACACCTATGTCGCGATATGCATTACTTGGCGTTCATCTGGTCCATGTTGTGATGCGGTAAGTTAGGTCCTTGATGGTGTTAACGACTAGCCGCTAGTCTAGGTGTTGATTAGACCGACCTTAATGAATACCCTCATTTCAAAACACCACACTGCAATCGAGCGAAGAGACCCAACACATCTGTATATACTTACACCAACGTAAAGTAATCAGAACACGCCATGTACGTAGATCCCGCTCAAGCCTTTCCAGCAAGTGGGTTTATCCCAGTCGTATCCTGGGTAGTAGTCAGCCCAAGCCGGGACAATTAAACCTTAGTATCGCCTATGTAAGCGCCGACGCTGATGGTAACTCTGAGATCTGGATCCGCGATTCAGATATGCTATGCTTACACGCGTACTCTCCACAAGAGCGGGTTTGTAAATGCGATGTATGATTACTCAACTATGTACTTAGTTATAGTCCCCTGGCTGCCTGCCATCGTTGTGACTTTTCGGGTTTCCAGGAACGTGCCACACAACTACGCAGGGACTGATGTCGTGCATGAGATCAAGTTACGGTCGATGCAGATGATCATAAGCTAGAGGTTGGGAAAGTTTAGATGCCGGCTTACTAGCACGTTGGCTGTTCTGTTACTCGTCCTCTGCTTGACTATACTCTTCGTCCAAAGCCCACGTTGGAGACGCGGATATCCAGTCTTGCATCCTCTGTCCAACGATACGCCAGCTTCGACCATGGGCCGGAGACTTGGTACTGCAACAGGCACACTGGCTGCTCTCTCCAGTTTGACATCTTCCGCCTCCGCACTCCCCTTTGGTGTACAAATCTACTCATGTATAACGCCCGGAGTCATCGCCCCCGCTTTCGACGACGGACCAGGGATCTACTCCGCAGATATCCTCGACAGGTATAACCCATTCCATACAGACCGCCTGGTCTGCATTTCGTGTCTCACGCTGACATGGCAATCCAGAATGGAAGCCGCCGGCTTCAAAGCGACATGGTTCATCAACGGAGAGAACAGAGGCACCATATACGACCACAACGCAACGCTTCACCGGATGGTCGATATGGGCCATCAGATCGGGTCGCATACGTAAGAAACCTATCTTACCCTACCTCTTCACTTTACTCCACCAACAACTCGGTCAGTCATGTCCAGAAAACAAAGCACGCAACTAATCTCTCGTCACACCATCCAGATGGAGCCACGCGAACCTCTCCTCCCTCTCCCCCACCGCCATACGCCACGAAATGACCCGCCTCGAAGACGCCATGCTCGATATCCTAGGCTTCTTCCCATACTACATGCGGCCGCCCTTACTCTCCGTCAACAGCCAGGCACTGCGCGTACTGCAAGAACTCGAATATCACGTCATCATCGGGGATCTGAACACGAAAGACTGGAAGTATCAGTCCAAGGACACAGTCGGCGAGGCGAAGCGACTTTTTGTCGAGGGCCTGGAGAAGGGATATAGTATTGTTGAGGCGCATGACCAGGAGCTTTGGACGCAGGGCGAGTTGATCGATCATATGATCGCTGTTGTGCTGGAGAGGGGTATAAAAAGTATGTCGTCAACTCCATCCATCCCCATGCATCTCGGGAAGAACGCCCTTGAACTGACAAATAACGTGTAGCCGTCACCGTGGCAGAATGCCTCGGCGAACCCTCACCCTCGCAATGGTATCGCACAGCCCGCCTCCCATATCCCCTCACCAGATCCAAACTCAGCTGCCAAACACCCTTTGTAAAGTGCGACAACACCGCGGACGACAGCATCCCATGGGAAAGGATTACCCCCGATCTGACGTGTGGGAATGAGAAAAAAGGGAGGGGGCAGGGGTATGTGTGTCGGACGGGACAGTGCTGTAGTAGGCATGGGAATTGCGGGATTGGGGATGCGTATTGTAGGGTGGATGAGGGGTGTCAGGAGGAGTTTGGTGTTTGCAAGGGCTGAGGAAATATCGTTGGATTGGGGTCTCTGCAGCACTGGCGAACATCTAAAACAAATGCCTTGTTTGCATGTCTCATCATTGCATGCTATACTTCCAACAACCCTTTCACCTCCTTAACCATCAAACTGTCCTCACCGGCCTTCGCTTGAACCTTTCCAATCGTTCCCGCCGCATCCATAACCTTCCACGTATCCCTCAATTCCCCCTGCATGTCCGCGGCATACACCAACCATCCAACACATATAACACCCATCTTCTGGTTCTCGCTCCACTGATCCTCAGTGCCGATGTTCTCTAGTAGCGACGCCAGAAGCTCGCCTTGCTCCGCGTCTGGTAGTTCGGTCTCGGACGATAACGAGGCCGACGGGTTTGCGCTGTGCTTCTTCATGCGTACTTGGTGGTTCGAAGACGCGATATTCATGGCTAGGCTAAGAGCTGAGGCCTTCAGCGCGGGGTGCTTCTCGTCGAGGAGCGCAGTTGTTAGGATGGAGATTAGCGTTGATGAAAGCGGTGGAGACAGGAGGTGTGGTATGAAGAGTGGCGATGAGAAGAGATTGCATGCGAGATGCAGTGTCGTAAGTCTCAGAGGGTAGGGCGCGGAGTCGCCGAGCTTGTCGACGTGGTCCAGCAGATGGTGTATAGTGGCAGGTGTGCCAGTTGCTCCCTTGTGTTCTTCCGCGAAGAAGCCGGCCACGCGGACGTCGGTCAAGGCCACCCTGAGCAGATCTAGGGCCGTGAATAGAAGCTCTGGTGGGAGTACTGAGGTGCTGTTCCTCAGGAAACTGGCGAACTGGGGCAAATCCCCTAAAGGTGCTTCTATGGCACCAGACTGTTCGCGGGTCTGTATGAAAGATACAACTGACGACACAGCTGGCTCCTTTCCTGCATCTCCCATCTTTGCGACCAGCTTCTCCAGTGGCGGCACCTTGGTGAACTTGACAGGCCTTTGACTCTGCCGTAACAGCATGGGTGTGCTCTTCTCAAGATGTGGGTGCGCTGGGAATGCAGCATTAACCAGCATCTCCACGTTGTTCCGCAGCTGCCTGGGATCAGCTCCACTCCATTCGTCTCGCTTTTCGCCTTTGAGGTATGTGATAAATGTTGGGGTCGCGCGAACGTTGGGATAGCGAGTATTGATGGAGCGATCGGCGTGGCTGAAGTCGATTTTGATGAAGACACACTTGGTGCCAGTCTCGGCGGCGAGGTCGTCGTACGGTTGGTACACCAACTTGCATGGTGCGCATGTGGAGCTCGTGAAGAAGATGATGGCGCAACGGTCTTTGGCGAGATCGAGAAGGCGGTCTACGTCCTTCAGTGCTGTTATGTTGTTGACCCGGCCCGTGTTCATTTCCAAAGCGCTGTTCCCAGAAGAGACCCCATTGGATGTACTTGCGCTCGACGCTTTCGTATGAGCTTGCGGTTGTACCGGCTGCGGTGTCGGCGCTTGGACGATGGGTCGCATAGCGGCATCAATTTGCGGTTTGAGCATCTGTCCGAACGGCGTGTTCAAGACGGTCTGTGGGAGGGAAGTGATGTGGTCTGGTATTCCTTTGCCGACAAGGAACATGGCGAAGTCGTTGGAGAAGTTGTTGCAGTTGTGCGCAAACAGATCGTAGGACTGAATGGACTGTCAGCATGCTCTGCGCAAAAGCGCTAAACGGGACCATACCTCGGCCGTGTATATTTCCTTGAGAGACTCGAGGTACTCTAATATGACCTCCATTGGAAGCGCAGTCTGCCCCAGCTTGATTACTTCCATCGGTCGGCCATGGTGAGTGGTGCCCGCCCGACACGTCTGCACGCCTGATCCGTAGTAGTATTCTATGCCGTCGAGTACGATTGAGGTGTGATATACGGCATCAATCTGTGCGAAAGGATGTGTTAGCAGGCGAACCGAGTTTCCGAAGAAATCTGGCTTACCTGGATCCCCAAGAATTGCCGCGACATGCTTCGCGCAAGACCCTAGATGCCGTCAGCTCTGAACACGTCTGCAAAGCGTCGCGAAAGATCGCGCATGTGCATCTGCTCCAGCCACTTACTTGAGAAAGGTCATACACGTACAGTTCGACGTCCATATTGAAGGAGATTTGTAGACGACTATGACAGTGCCTAAGTGGTATTGCGCTTCGTGAGTATGTGGAGGCGTTGTGCGAGGTGCTGTGATAGATAAGAAGATGACGTAGAACATTCCGGAAGGCTGACGAACACTCGGGCGACGCGACACCAGCGATCCGCAACGTCGCGCTAGCACCTGACATTGCACCCGCGTCACACCTGGGCACCCATGGACCTTCACCATCTACCAAGCTTTATGATCAAGTGATACAGAAATACACCGCGTGCTGCCGGGCTCTTTGACATACAGATGCGTACTTTCTATGATCATGGTTACCGACGGCACTGTCCTTTCAATCATTGCAGGTAATTATTGCGCAGATCTATGCCGACAGCATGTCTAAGATACAGTGCGCTTATGATCGTTTCGAATCAATTACTCGATTACGCTTTCTGAACTAGCTGCGGCCCTCTTCTGGTGGGCTTCTTTCAACGCCAATCGCTCTGCCTTGTTACTTCCCCTGTTACGCTTATTTTTGTATTTCTCGGCCCTCGCTTTCCTGGCCGCCGCTTTCTCCTTCTGTTCTTCTC